TGCATTTTGCTTGTTTGTTTTGTTTTGTTTTTGAAAGAGGTGTCTCACTGTGTACCTCTGGCTGGCCTGGAACTCGCTCTGTAGACCAGGCTGGCTTCGAACTCACAGAGATCCATCTGCCTCTGCCTCCCAAGGGCTAGGATTAAAGTCCTGCGCCACCACCCCAGGCTTCATTTTTGTTTTTTGTAACAAGATTTCTTGCTGAGCCTGAAGTTAACAGATACAGCTAGGCTGGCAGGCCAGTGCACCTCAGGGATGTGCTTTTCTCTGCCCATCCTCCAGCAATGAGGTTACAGAAGTGGAATTCTACAAGCACTTTACTAAATGAGCTGTCTCTTCCCTAGCTCAGTCTGGCTTCTTACAAAGCTAGGATGCTCTGACATTCACTATCACTAGGTTTGAAAATCCTTCAATTAAAGAGCTTGTGGAAGAGTCTAATGGATGCTCACCACTTTCTCTCAGACTGCGGACACCGTACAGACAAATGCACACTTTCCATTCTGACTAGACTATTGTCTACTTTAGCTCATACCTCCTGAGGGCAAGGCTTTCTTCTTTCTCATTTTTATTTTTTTATTCTTTTGGTATTTTGAGACAGGGTTTCTCTGTGTAGACCTGGCTGTCCTGAAATTAGCTGTACAGATCAGGTTGGTCTCGAACTTAGAGATCCGCCTGCCTCTGCCTCCTGAGGGCTGGGATCAAAAGTGTGCACCACCTCCATCCGCTGCAGTTCGCTCTCAGTTTCGTTTCTTTTCTTTTCTTTCCTTTTCTTTTCTCTTCTTCTTTTTTTTTTTTTTTCTGGAGACAGGATCTCACTAGCCTGGAACTCACTATGCAGATCAGACTTGCTTCAAACTCCCTGGGATCTGCCTCCCGCTGCCTCCTGAGTGCTGGGTTCCTCATATTTTCAATAACGTAAACACATCTAGGTCTAGGAATATGGCATTTTAACTAAAATGCCCTAGGTCCTGTCTAAAGAACTGCATAAAACCAGACACAGTAGCCCGTCGGAAGGCATCCTCAGTATGCAGTGAATCTGAGCTCAGCCTGGTCTGCCCGAGCATCTCTATAGACACACGGGAGGGAGTTCCACTCTGTCTTATACACAAGGGTGGAGTTAATGGGTGGAGGGCTCCAGGAGCTCTTGCTGGGTAATAATTACTAATTACCTTGCAACCTAGATGCTTAACACCTTTTGTTGTTGTTGTTGTTGAGGGAATGGACCAAGGCCTTTCACGTGCTAGGCAAGCACTCCATAGAGTCACACCACTAGATCAACAGTTCTTAAATCTCTTACACTGGTGTGAAGTTGGCAGAGCCCTGACACTGGAGGGGGGTGAAGTCAGTGGAAAATTTCTTCACACCCACACCAGGTGTCTGGACTGCCTGGCTAGATCAGCCCAGGATGGGGAGATTAGATGGCATCTCTTAAGAGACAAGGGGTTTGCAACCATCTTTCACCTTCATGGTGGCTAGACTCACTCGTCAGCTCTGTCTAATATCAACTGCAGACTAGCTCCTGAGCGGTTTCCGCTCTCACTGGTAGCAAGGATTCGGACTCCATTGATTTTATTGTTTGTTTGTTGCTTGTTTTTTGTTTGTTTGTTTGTTTGGTTTTTTTGTTTTGTTTTTCGAGACAGGTTTTCTCTGTGTAGCCCTAGCTGTCCTGGGATTCACTCTGTAGACCAGGCTGGCCTCGAACTCACAGAGATCCGCCTGCCTCTGCCTCCCAAGTGCTGGGATTAAAGGTGTGCGCCACTATCACCCAGGTGTTGCTTGTTTTTGAGGTTGGGTCTCATGGAGACCAGGCTGGCCTCTCGCTCACTATATAGCTGAGGATGGCCTTGAATTTTGATGATGGGAGAGTGTTGCCATGTTCATTGTAGTCCCTGCTGGGGTGGGATCCCCAGCTTCCTGAACACCAAGCAAGCGCTCTGCCATCTGGACCTCAACACCTTTCCTGTCTTTTCTTTTTGTTGTGTTTTGTTTTAAGACTAAGTCTCAGTTGTGCAGTCCTGGGTAGCCTGGAACTTGCTATGTAGATCAGGTTAGCCTAAAAACCACAGGGATGCCTCTCCTGGTTGCTGTGCCTAGCTATTTGTTTATTTGTTTTTTGAAACAGCGTTTTATTTTTTGTTTTTTGATACAGGGTTTTGCTGTATAATTCTGGTTGTCTTGGAACTTGCTCTGTAGACCAGACTGGCCTGTAACTCCAGAGATCCACCTGCCTCTGCCTCCTGGAGTGCTGGGGTTAAAGGTGTGCACCACCACTGCCTGGCTTGAAACAGGGTCTTACTATATAGTCCTGGCTAGCTTGGAACTCACTATGTAGACAAGGCTGCCCTTGAACTCACAGTGCTGGGGATGGAATCAAAAAGCATAGACCGCCGCCGAGCCTCTTTGTTCTCCGCTGCCGAACCTCTTTGTTTTTCTATTTTGTTTTTGGACACGACTTGATGTTTCCCATGCTGGTCTCAATCTTTTATGTTGTGAAGATGACCCTGACCTCTTACATTTCTTTTCAATTGTTTCTATGTGTCTGTTGCTAGGTGCTTTGCCTGTATGTCATCTGTGCACCATGTGGGTGTGTTGCCCAAGGATGCCAGAAGGTGTTGGATTCTCTTGGACTGGAGTTACAGTCAGTTGTGAGCCACAGTGTGGTGCTGAGAATTGAACCCTGTCCTCTGGAAGAGCAGCCAGTGCCCTTAACTGCTGAGTCAGCTCTCCAGCCCAGACTTTGACAAGCGTTGGGAGCACAGGTGTGCAGCACAATGCCGACCCGCCTCTAACCCCCTTGCAGGCTGGAGAGATGGCTCAACTGTTAAAGGCTAGGCTCATAACCACAAAAAAGTGTTTATTTGCCAATGGCTTTAAAATGTGCCTTCATACATCTAAGCAAGCTGCGACCTTATGTTCCCTCTCTCTGGAGAGATTTAAACCTGGAAAGCCCTGGGCAGTTTCAAAGGACTCTTGCCACAGCCTCTCTAGCGGTTGAGGCAAGAGGATTACCATGAGCTCAGTGAGCTAGGGTCTAGTACAGAGTCCCGAGCTGCAGAGTGAGGTTCTGTTTTTGTTTTCTCTTTCTTTCTTTCTTTCTTTCTTTCTTTCTGTCTGTCTGTCTGTCTGTCTGTCTGTCTGTCTTTCTTTCTTTCTGTCTTTCTTTCTTGTTTGTTTGTTTGTTTTGCTTTGTTTTTTGTGTATTTTTTTCTTTTTTGTTTTTTGTTTTCTTTTTTTGTTTCTCTTTGTAGCCTTGGCTGTGCTGGAACTCACTCTGTAGTACAGGCTGACCTCACACCCAGAAATTCTCCTGACTCTGCCTCCCAAATGCTGGGATTAAAGGCCTGGGCCACCACCACCTGGTTTATTGTAATTTATTAGGGGGATATCCTTCGGAAGCCTGTTCTTTTTTTGTTTTTGTTTTGTTTTGTTTGTTTAAGGGAACAGGAGGAGGGGTGGATCTGGGGGGAAGAGGGGAGGGGAGAGGTGGGAGGAGTGGAAGGAGGGAACTGCCATCAGTGTGTAATGTATGAGAGAAAAAAGTGCAAAAAAAAAAACCAAACTAAAAAACAAACAAAGAAAAAAAGTTGGTTATGGTAAACCCAACGACTGGTGTACCCCCAAGGGGAAGACAGAGCAAGGGTGCCATACAAGCAGACGCGACCTCTGAAGAGACAACAACCCTCTCTATGCCCAGAGGCCTCAGGGGAAACCCACTGTGCGGTCTCTTTGACCTTCTAGGACTGTGAGAACTGAATTTCTGTGTAAGTCACCCAGTCTGATATTTGTCCACGGCTCTGCAGAATACAGGATACCAGTGTTTTAATTTACATCTGCAGCTCGCTCATCCTGCCCAGTTATTTGTTTTGTCTGAAATGCAAATGAACCTCCACCTGCTGCTCCTGAAGCCTTCCGTCAACACGCTGTCCACTGACCGCTTTCCTTCCATCTGTCCCGCGGCCTGCAGCCCGATTCTTCTCAGCTGTCCTCCACGCGTCTAGTCTCCTCCTCGCTAGGGTCCTCTGGCTGGAGGTGGGCGCGGGAGCGGGGGTGGGGGGGCTCTGCTGGTCCCCAGATCGTGCCCCCAAGGATTGCCTCTTCCGTCTTTTGCTGTCTCCTCTTTGTGCAGGTTTAGGGTTTAAATGCCTAGTACCCGGGGAGAAAACCACGAAGCGGGAACAGCCGAGTTTGGGGTCTAGAGGTGGCAGCGCCCGGTGCTCCGAGCAGAGCCTTTTAGGCGGGTTGGGACAATGAATGGACCGGGCAATCACGCTGAGCACATCTGGCCCGGGCTGGGTGAACAGGAAGTGTCTTCAGAGCAGCCTGCTGAGAGCCTGGGGTCCCCAGGCAGGATGCGTGGGGGAGGGGATCTCCGGCCACTCCTCCCCCGGCTCACGATCCTAAGGAAGCAGAAGCAAGGCCTGCTCCTGGAGTCCAGAAACAGCACGGATCTGGGAACAGAAACTTTTCTGACGAAGGCTGTGGATGATACGACACATCAGACCACTTGCTCCACCTCTAGTCCTTGAGCTCGCTGGAGAGTTCCTGCATCCCATTGAGGACCAGCGCGGGGGACGGGGGCGGGTTTGAACCCCTGGTCCTCCCCTTCGTGCTGGACATTGAAGACTGGACTACTTCCCCGCCGCGCCCTTAGTGAGCCCCGCCCCATCCAGGCTTCCACTTGCAGGTGGGGCAGTTGGCGCAGCACCCAGACCGGGACAGCACCTGGGGGCCGGGGGACAGGAGAGGTCCCCGTAGTGTACCTCTTTATCGGACCTCTGTCCCCTCCTGTGCCTTCTCCACGCTCCCAGGACCCCCAGCCCCACCTCGACTTTCGACTATCGCCTGTCAGCCCCTGCTGTGTCTCCTAGGATCCCGGATCTCTCCTGCCCATCTCTACTACCCTGTGTCGGCTCCCTTGATCCTCGCCGGGTACCTCCAGACCCCCAGGGCGGACGGAGTCGGGGCCCCTTCGAGTGTCCCCTCGGACCAAGCGGAACGCGCCATGAGGCTGCAGGCGCTCGATCTCCGGTTACTGGTGCTACTGCTGGTTCTTCTTCTTCAGCCTGTGCACGGGACTCCCAGGGCGCAGGACATGAGTCTGGGCGTGGTGAGCTCGGGTCCGCTGGCTCCTGGGATCATAGAGAGCCTGTAAAAGGGAAAGGGGTAGAGCGGACTCCTGGGTCTGAAGGAAAGAGGGGGCTGGATTCAAATGTCCTGAAGAGTGTCTGGGGATGGGCTCTTGGGCCCCTGGATTGCTGGCTCTATCTGGAGGTTTAGTGACTGGGATTCGGAACTGTGAAAAGGAGCTAAATTGGAACGCTGGGGCCTCACCTACTGCATCTATCAAGACTGACAAACCCAGAGCTGGGGGTGGGGACCCTGGCTTTATGTATAAGGGAGGTGGGTTCTGTCGTCCAGGTCTAGGAACTTTGGTTCTGGATTCCCTAGAGGGTTGGACTTTTCAAATAACGGTGAGAAGGGAAAGCCCCATCGTTTTAGGGCTTCATCATTCCTCTCCTATGCCCCAGGACTGGCTGACTCGCTATGGCTACCTACCTCCGGCTGATCCTTCCCAAGCCCAGCTGCAGAGCCTTGAGAAGCTGCAGGATGCTATCAAAGTCATGCAGAGATTTGCCGGCCTGCCTGAGACAGGTCAAATGGGTAGGTAGGCCACCAAGCCACGGGGCAGTCCTGCCTCTGTCTTTAAATTGCAGGGAGCACTGAATCCCAAGAGACGTAAAGATGCTGATCTCGGAGCCCTGCCCAGACCTTGGAGGTCTGCCGGCATCCAGCTATCCTGTCCTGGCTTTGCCAGGCTCCGATATGGCAGCGGGGATGGAACAGGTCTAGTCCACACTCTCTGGAGCTGACATTATAAGGGAGAAAGAAACAGACCAAGAACATCAATATGCAAAATGATTTCAAATGGTGCCAGGTTGGCCTCAAACTTGAGATTCTCCTGCCTCGGCCTGAGCCTGCACCTAGCTGGGCGGGCCACTCTGAAAGATGTCGTGTGAGCTTATAAGCTGAGATCACAAATAGGAGGACACAGCCACAGGAAAACGTGGGAGGAATGGCGCAGTGACTGCAGAAGAACCTGCAGCAGACACAGTTTATCTGCCTGCAGTGATCGGCAGAGGGGATTAGGCAAGAGCGTGATTAGGTTACCTTGAAAAAGGTTTATTCCAAGTATAATAAGAAACCAGGGGAGCAGGGCTGGAAGCAGGGAATTAACTTCATCTGACTTTCAGGTTTTTGCTGGTTTTTGTTTTTGTGGGGGCAGGTGTTCCTCTCTGTGTTGCTTAGGCAGCTCTTGAACACATAGTCTTCCTGTTTTAGCTTCACTGAATGGGTCGTTGGGAAACAGTGGCCATGCCATATTGCTTGGTCTGGTTTGATCTTTTGTCTGTTGATGAGGAGTGGAGGGTGGGTGGAGAACCAGAAGGAGCCTTTTGCAGGTGGTGCTGGGGAGTAGGGGTGGGGATATGGCAGAGAGTGTATTTTGAAGGTAGAGTCAAGGGCTCGCCTGTGGAGTTAAATAGAAAGACAGAGGGAACTTGGAGAATCTTCAAGGAAAAAACTCCTCCCTCCCTGTTCCTTCTCAGCCCAGAACAGAGTATGACGTCACTATGTTCTTGGTTACTGTTTGCTATTGCTGCCAGTGAGATGCAGTTTGACCTCCTGGAAAGGGGGAGGTGCTAGAAAAGGGGCTTACAGATGGGCCTAATGTGAGAAGGGATGGCAAGATGCTACAGACTAAAGACCGACCCCTGCTGTCTTCAGACTTTGATCAGCAACCCAGGAGGACTTAAGCCAGGCGGGATGGTAGTGGTGCTCGCCTTTAACCCCAGCATTTGGGAGGCAGAGGCAGGCAGATCTCTGAGTTCAAGTTCGCGGCCAGCCTGGTCTACAGAGCAAGTTCCAGGACAGTCAGAGCTACACAGAGGAACCCTTTTTTGAAAAACCAGGAGAGTTAAAAAAAAAGAGTGATGGACAGCTTCAAGGGGAGAGCACAGTTGTTTGGATTCTGGTCTTAGAGGAAAGGGGAGAGGACCTAGTTGGTAAAGTGTTCTCCTTGCAAGATTGAAGACTTGAGTTTGGGCCCTAGAACCCAGCTGAAAAGGGGCCTGGTGGAGTGGCCTTGTGATCCCAGCCCTGTGGAGGCTGAGATGCAGATCCTTGGAGCTCACTGGCCAGTCTAACCTAGTTGGGGAGTTCTGGACAATGTGAGAGATCCTGTCTCAAAAAAACAAAGTCAATGAAGCAAACAAACAAACCCAAGGTTGATAGCACAGGAAGGACACCCAGGTTGCCCTCTGGTCTCCGCTCCCAGGTGCGCATGCGTACCCTATAGACATACATATACAACCCCTTCCACCTTTAGGGTACCTTCCTTCAGCATCCACCAGCTGGGGCCAGGGAAGGGGTACAAGAGACCCAGCTTAAGCCTGTAAGTGCCTCCTATGGTGGCCATGGTCAAGTAGAGAGGGTGCCTGGCTTGAGCTAGCTTTCACAGTGACTGGGCTCGGGCTGTGAGGCCTAAGCCATCTGTTTTCCTTTTTAAACCCTTAGTTATTTTTATTTTATGTGTTCGGGTGTTTGACCTGTGTGTTTGCCTATGCATCATAAAGGTCAGAAGAGGGTGTCAGGTCCCCTGGAACTGGAGTTCCAGACTCTTGTAAGCCACCAGGTGGGTGCTGAGACTTGAACTCAGGTCCCTCTAGAAGAGCAGCCAGTGACTTCAAGTGTCGTGAGCTAACTTTTCAAGTCTATCGAGTCAATTTCTTAGTTAGTGGGTACCGTGACGACGGACGGTCCTATCACTTTTGACACCTGTCTCCCGCAGACGCTGAAACAATAGCTGCCATGCGCAAGCCCCGCTGCTCCCTGCCTGATATTCTGGGGGCTGCTGGGCTGGTCAGGCGCCGCCGCCGCCGTCGCTATGCTCTGAGTGGCAGTGTATGGAAGAAGCGCACCCTGACGTGGAGGTAGGTCTTGGTTCCTGTGCTTCCCCTTGACCTGCTGACTAGGTCCCAGACTTACCTGGCTGGCAGGTACCTCCACAGCCACCGGCTCTCCTCCTCTCTCCTCAGTATCCGGTCCTTCTCTCAGAGCTCCCAGTTGAGCCAGTCGACCGTGCGGACCCTCATGAGTTACGCCCTGGCTGTCTGGGCTGTTGAGTCAGGCCTTACCTTCCAGGAGGTGGATTCTCAGCATCAGGAGCCCGACATCCTTATCCATTTTTCCCGGGGCTACCACCAAGACAGTTACCCCTTTGACGGACCCGGTGGCACCCTGGCTCATGCCTTCTTCCCTGGAGAGCACCCCATCTCTGGAGACACTCACTTCGATGATGAGGAGACCTGGACTTTTGGGTCACAAGGTAAAAGTTTCCATCTTCAGAGTGGTTCCCTCTTTGTATCTCACTGTGCTGAAGAACTAGGTTGAAGTTAATTGATTGATGAAAGCTGTGTCAGTCAGGGATTTCCCAGAGAAGCTGGAGGTGTGTACTACATTGGTGTCCCGCTTGTCTGGCATGTATGGGCTCAGAACACACACCACATACACCACACACATACACACACAGCCCAACATGGTAACACACAGCTTTAATCCCAGCACTCAGGTGGCAGTGGCAGGTAGCTATCTATGAATTTGAGGTTAGCCTGCTCTACATGGTGAGTCTAGCCATGGCTACATAGTGGGAGCTTGCATCCCAGAAAAAAAAAATTTTTTTTAAGTTGATTAATTTTAATTTTATGGTATGGGTGTTTTATCTGCATATGTCTGTGTACCAGGTGCATTGCCTGGTGCCTCTGAAGCCAGAAGAGGATGAGGAACTGGCATTAAATATGGTCATGTGCTTTCTGGGATTCGAGCCTGGATCCTGTGGAAGCACAGCCAGTGCTCCTAATCACTAATCACTGGGGCCTCTCCAGTCCCCAGCCCCTCCCAGACCCCTAAAAAGCACTTAAAAAGAGGTTTTTGCTTTTGTTTTTGAGATTTGACCTCATTATTGTAGCCCACACTGGCTTTGAGCTCACTGTTTATCCCAGGCTGTTCTTGAAGAGATTTGCTCTGAGGAGTTGGCTCATGGGGATTGTGGGAATTAGCATGGCCAGAATTTGTAAAGGACTAGGAAAACTCAAGGTAGATTTCTGTCTTGAGACAGATTTTTTTCCCTCCTAGAACTCTCAGTGTTGGTTCCTAGGGCTTGGATGGATATGATCCTTCTGCACTGGGGTGGCTTGCTTCGGTGAGAGCAGATCCTAGTTAGATCTCTGAAACACCTTCACAGCAACGTCTGGGATGCCGTTTGGCCAGTTCACTAGGCACAACCAAATCAATACAAAATTAAAACTACAGAGGCCTTTCAAGTGCCCAAATCAGACAGTGGTGGCACTCACCTTTGATCCCAGCACTTGGGAGGCAGAAAAAGGCAGGTCTCTGTGAGTTCAAGGACAGCCTGGTCTACAGAGTGAGTTCCAGGACAACCGGGGCTACACAGAGAAGCCCTGTCTCAAAAAAAAAAAAAAAAAAAGAAAAAGAAAGAAAGAAAGAAAGCAAGCAAGCATTGCCCCGTCAAGTGACCAGCTCAGAGATGGCAATGACGTAAAAACCCAAACCCCATCAATTTAGGCAGAAGGTGACTGTCACCACTGTGCTCAGTGATGTGGTAGCCAGAAATCACAGCAGAGGAAAGCTGTGGTTCCCGAGGAGTTTCTTGGGCAGGGGAGGTTTCCTAGAAGTGATGACTCTTTCCGCTTAAATAGACACATGTGCCGGATGTGGTGGCACTGAGGGTGACAGCTCGCATCTGTAATTCAGCGATTGTGAAATCGAGACCAGCTGAAGATAGACAGCAAGAATCCAGAACTGGGTGTGCACTCTGGAGGCAGAGGCAGGCAGATGTCTGAGTTTGAGGCCAGTCTGGTCTATAAAGCAAGTTCCAGGACAGCCAGGGCTGGGCCTGTTCTGAGTTCCCTTAGATCTGCCCCTCCATGAGCAGTCCCCATATTCTCTTACCTGGACTCTCTGGCCACTTCCTGCCTCTTTGCCTCTCTCCATTCCACCTCCCCATGCATACAGGAATATGTCTAGGATGCGAAACTATTTGATGTGTTTGTTCCCATTGCTTCCCGAATCCTGTTGTTCAAATTCTATTTACTTTCCCAAACTCTTTGTAATCTAGAACCCACTCTCACCCGTGATGCCATCCCTTTGTAATCTAGAGCCCACTCTCACCCGTGATGTCATCCCTTTGTAACCTAGAGCCCACTCTCACCTGTGACGCCATCCCTTTGTAATCTAGAGCCCATTCCCACCTGTGATGTCATCCCTTTGTGATCTAGAGCCCACTCTTACCCGTGATGTCATCCCTTTGTAACCTAGAGCCCACTCTCACCTGTGACGCTATCCCTTTGTAACCTAGAGCCCACTCTCACCTGTGTCGTCATCTCCGCTGATGCCACCCACAATTCTGTTTTCCAACCATCAATGCTCCTGACCCTATCTCCCTTCAGCAGCTCCTCTCACCTCTGGCTACCAGGCACTCAGCTGACTGGCTGGTGTGTTCTCCTTGAGTGTCCCCTGTACCTGTGCACTTCAGAAGAACAAGATTTGCCCATCTGGCCTGTGACACCTGGTGCTCAGCATTCTTTGTTTTGTTCGAGACAGGGTCACTCTGTAGCCTAGGTTGGCCTTCATCTCACTGTGTAGCTGCAGCTTGGCCTCAAACTTGCTACAATCCTTTTGTTTTTTGGTTTTGTTTTTTGAGACAGAATTTCTCTGTATAGACCTGGCTCTCCTGAAACTTTCTTTGTAGACCAGGCTAGGCTCGAACTTACAGAGATCTGCCTGCCTCTGCCTCCTGAGTGCTGGGATTAAAGGTGTGCACCACCACCATCCAGCCAGATAGAAGTTCTTAAGCAGTTTGTCAAGGGAGAGGGTTTTCAGGAGAAAGGATAGCAGGAGGGGAATAGAACCGAACACGGCTATGGGGCCAGCTCTTCTCAGCTCTGTATCAGTCAGTCATTTACTGTGCTGGGGTAGGATGAGTGGGGAGGTGATAGCTGGGTCAGGTGCCCAGGTGTGGAGCACCACTGGCAGCCAGTCACAGACTGGGACAGCAGGTAGTGTCCTGCAGCACACCGAGGCTAGAGATGCAGGCCGGGAGCCTGGGCAGACCGCAGAGCTGCAGTCTCCAGTGTAAGCAGGTCAGCTTTGAAGATGAATCCGTTCGGGTTCCTCTACTCGTTGCTCTGTTTCCTCAGTTGAGAAATGAGGGAAGAAGTACCCGCTTGCTGAGTGGTCCTTGGCACCCATGCTGCTGACTTCCTTGCCAACTGCTCTGAGAGCTGAGCCTGGGGAGGGATTAAAGGATGCCAGGAAGAAAGTATAGAATGCAAACGTCAAAAGCAGAGCAATGAAGAGCCTTGAAGTTAAGAGATGGGGAGCTGGGTGTGGTGGTACATACCTGTGATCCCAACATTTGGAGTCAAAGGCAGGGTGGCTGATACTATGTGACCAGCCAGGGAATAGTCTACATAAAGAGATCTAGGCCTGCAAGCAAGAGATGCTGTCTTGGAAAACAAACAAATAAAAGCAAAACAAAACAAAACAAAAAACAACCCAAACCTAAAACAACGGAGGTGGGGAGGAAAACGGGCTGAAAGGCGGTGAATAATAGTTCAGAGGAAGTGGTTAGATTCACAGCAGGCACAGCAAGGCAGGGAAAAGTCCAGCAACTCACATGGCCAAGATTTAGTTATGTGGGGACAAGTGACTTTTTTTTTTTCAAGACAGGGTTTCTCTGTGTAGTCCTAGCTGTCCTGGAACTCACTTTGTAGACCAGGCTGGCCTCGAACTCACAGAGATCAGGCTGGCCTTGAACTCACAGAGATCCACCTGCCTCTGTCTCTAAAGTACTGGGAGTAAAGGCATGCGCCACACACCCCCCTCTGCTGACGAGTGACCTTTTGGTGCCCGCTTGCTCCCTGGTGTGGGAAGAATCCCCAACTGTTAGGCGTGAGAAGAAAGAGGAAGCGTACACTGTTTACACCACTGGCTGGGGAGCTTGACTGGGAAGCAAGGACAGAAACTGGTAAAGCCAGAATCCCAGTGACCAAAGAGTGTCTCAGGATGGAGTGTTCTAGGCTTTGGATCTCGCAATGAATCAACAGAAATCTCTGCGAGTTTAGACTAACCTGGTCTACATAGCCTATATACACTGTCTCAAAAATGGGGAGCGGGCACGGATGCCTGGACAGAAAGGAAGAAGTGGGCATGGGCAGGAGAAGAGGGGCGAGTGTGGGACCATGAAGCTATCTGCCCATGTACATGTGTAGCAAAGGTGACATTACCCTCCACTGCCTGCCTTTATGTTTTGTTTACATCGATCTTATTTTCAAGATTTATTTTTGTTGTTTTTAGCCATGTGTATGTCCGTCTGTGTGGGGGTTTGTGCACATGGGTGCAGGTGCCAGAGGAGAGTACGGACTCCCTTGGACCTGGAGTTACAGGTAGCTGTGAGCCACTTGAGGTGGATGCTAGAAGCCAAACTGGGGTCCTCTGGAAGAGCCGTAAAACATTCTTAATAGCTGAACCATCACCCCAGCCCCCTGGGTTTGTTTCTCAGGCTGGTCTCACACCTGCTGTGCAGCCAAGGATTGCCTTGAGCGCCTGGTCAGTCTGCTGTCATCTCCCCCACGGCATGCACCATTATGGCTATTTAACCTTGTGCTGGGAATCAAACCCAGGGCTCTATGCATTCTGGGCATGCTCTCTACCAACCGAGTACATCCCCAGTCCTGCCTGCCTTGATGAAACAGGAAGCACATCTGCCGGCTGTGGGGACTGAGTCTGGGCCTCACCTGAGTCTCTTCTCAACTCCAGCTAGAAGTTGAGGGGACCAAAGCAGCCACCTGCTAGGCCAAAGACAAGAAAGACAGGCACCCTGAACATGGTCCACCAGGGCCCCCACAGGGTTAGTTTGGGTGATTATGTAAATTTCTCCGCCTGCATAGGGTGAGAACAGTGCAGGAAGGGGTTTGTGGCCCGGAAGCCCCATGTTGCCCCATGTTGCCCCAAGAGAGGTGAGATAAGGAAGGAGAAAGAGAACATCCTGATTGAGACACCAAACTTCCTCTGATTTCTCAGTAAAAGGATGCAGGGTAATTAGGTGACCTGCAGCCAACATGGAAATTCAGGTGTAGTTTAAACAGGTTCATGTGAAGACAGGACCTGCCGAAAGGCAGAGGTACAGCCAGGGCACTCAGTGTCCCTTCCAGCTCTGCCTCTGACCTTGATGACTCTGTTTTCCCTCTGTAGAATGATGGGAGATGGAGAAACTCACTCTGTAGACCAGGCTGGCCTTGAACTCACAGAGATCCATCTACCTCTGCCTCCCAAGAATGCTGGGGTTAAAGGTGTGTGCCACCACTGCCTGGCGAATTTACCCGGTGTAAATTCCACACATAACCATAGTGCCATTGCTTAGGAGGTAGAGACTGGAGGATTTTATGAAGGTCAAGCTCTTCTCCTTGAACAATGAATGAAAGTCTAGCCAGGGCTACATAGTGGGATCCAGTTTCAAAAAAAAAAATTGCTGTTTTCTTTCTTTCTTTCTTTCTTTCTTTCTTTCTTTCTTTCTTTCTCTCTCTCTCTCTCTCTCTCTCTCTCTCTCTCTCTCTCTCTCTCTCTCTTTCTCTTTCTTTCCTGTTAGGGTAAGTGGCTTTTCAGTTGACTAGTCATATCTCACTTTCAATACCATCAATACTGGTTAGGATCTATGAGGCGGAGCAACATTCGGGAACCTAGGCCTTTCTGGGAGACCGCCTGGCTCTGCTAACTGCTTTAGTGTCTTCTGGGTCTTAACCACTAAAGTCAGAGATCGATGAAGCCAAGTGTTGAGAGGCTCTGTCCTGACCTGGCTGGAATCCCCAGGGAAGAAACTGTGGCAGGAAGAGGCTCCAGAGCAGGGGCTGTGGTCTGGGAGTGCTGTTGTGGAAGTTCTGACTTCTCCCCCAGTTAGGGAAGGGTGGCAGGTGGGAGGGGCAAGGGCTCTTGGAGAGGTGGGCAGAGATGTGAAGTGGCCTGGAAATGTGGATCCGGGAGAGATGGAAAGAAAAGGGGTGAAAGACACCCTGGGTGAAGACTGGGAAGGGGGGTGCTCCTTTTCTTATTCTTCCTTCCTTTTATTTCTTGTAGTTTCTCTATGTAGTCCTGACTAGACTTTAGTTTGCAATATAGGCTGGGCTGGCATCAAACACACAGAGATTCTCCTGCCTCTGCCTACCAAATGCTGAGATCAAAGGCCTGTACCACCACACCCAGCAGAGTAAGCAATTCTTCCTCTTCTTCTTTTTTAAGAGATTTACTTATTTATTTTTATGTGTGTGAGTGTTCTGTCTACCTTTATGCCAGGAGAGGGCCTCAGGCTGTGAGCCACCGTGTCAGTGCTGGGAATTGAACTCAGGACCTCTGGAAGAGCAGCCGGCGTTCTTTCCTGCTGAGCCATCGAGTGGGGGTTTCCAAGCACAGACTGGAGTTGGGGGGGGGTCCTAGTTCCCCAGGGCTCTGACCCTAAGTTATATGCAGCTTTCCCTGCCCGAGTGAGGGCTATGGCAGCACAAGGACAGCTTGACAGCTTCCTCGTGTCCTTTGGGTGTCTTTTTACCTGTGTCCCGGTGTCACAGCAAACATATTTGCTGCATGGTTGAAGGATACAGGAATGGGGGTGCCACTCAGGAGGGGGCAGGGCAGAGGTGGTGCGGCCCCACCCCAGGGTTTCCTGGGTCTTCCTTCTGGCCAGCAGACTCAATCCCTCACTCCCTTCCCAGTGTGGGAGGGCCTTAGCTTCACCCCCTGTCCTCTCTCCCCAGATGGTGAAGGAACCGACCTGTTTGCAGTAGCAGTTCATGAGTTTGGCCACGCTCTAGGCCTTGGTCACTCTTCTGCTCCCAACTCCATTATGAGGCCCTTCTACCAGGGCCCAGTGGGCGACCCTGACAAATATCGCTTGTCCCAAGATGACCGTGATGGATTGCAGCAGCTCTATGGTATGAGAAGGAGATGCCAGAACCAGCCCCGGGCATAGCTTCTGTATGACTATACAGCAGGTCCGGGGAACTCATATCTGCCTGACTCTCCCCACAGGGAAAGTGTCCCATACCCCGTATGATAAGCCCACAAGGAAACCCTTGGCTCCACCTCCACAGCCTCCAGCCTTGCCCCCTGACAGGTGAGTCTCCTACTAGCTGCATGACAGCACCCTGGCTCACTGTCCTCCATGAAGGGCCGGAGAGATGACTCAGCATTTAAGAGCACTTGCTGTTCTCTGAGACCCAAGTTGAGTTCCCAAAACCCACTCCAGACTGCCCACAGTTACCCGTAACTCCCACTCTGGAGGACACTTTGTAGATCTTAGACACCCACATAAATAAAAATTTAAAAAAATAATAAAAGGGTTGGGGAGATTGCACCTTTAGCAAAGCAACTGCCATGCAAGCGTAAGGACCTGAATGCAGACCCGAAACAGCCCTGAAAGCCAGAGGCTTGGGTCTGTAATCCCACATTACTCAAGAAGGCGGAGACAAGCATGTCAGCCTAGCTGAATTAATGAACTCCAGGTTCAGCAAGGGAGCTTGTCTCAAAAAATAAGGTCCTGAGTTTAATTCCTAGCAACCACATGGTGGCTCCTAAGCATTTGTAATGAGATCTGGTGCCCTCTTTTGGGGTACATGCATACATGTGGGCAGAGCACATACAAGCACACAAAAGACATGGATGGGAGCCGGGAGGTGGTGACACGCGCCTTTAATCACAGCACTCGGGAGGCAGGGGCAGGAGGATCTCTGTGAGTTCAAGTCCAGCCTGGTCTACAAGAGCTAGTTTCAGGACAGGCTCCAAAGCTGCAGAGAAACCCTGTCTCAAAAAACTGGGGGAAAAAAACCCAAAAAAAATGTGGATGGGAAGCATCCTTGCCAGACTAGTCAAGAGCAAGGGACAGGCAGCCCTAACCCGTTCACTCGCCATTCCTCTGCAGCCCCTCCACACCTGTGCCTGATCGCTGTGAGGGCAATTTTGATGCTATTGCCAATATCCGAGGGGAAACCTTCTTCTTCAAAGGTAAGTCAAGTAGGGTGGCCCTTGAGTCTGCATAATTGGCTTTTTACGCACTTCCTAGGCTGCAAAGCTTCCTGGGATGTGAGATTGTTGGCGTTAATAAAAGGGAGCGGTGGTGTGGGGAGACATCCTGGGCAAGTCATAAAATAATGGTCATAGATCTGCTTGATATGTAGAGGGATCCGCCCCCTGCCCAGTCACTCGCTGGGTTGGACAGAGGAACATCAGCGAAGGGACAAGATCTCTGACCTTGTCGTATCCCTAGGTCTTGTTCCCTTCTTCCCCTGCAGGCCCCTGGTTCTGGCGCCTCCAACCCTCAGGACAGCTGGTGTCGCCTCGACCAGCTCGGCTGCACCGCTTTTGGGAGGGGCTGCCCACCCACGTGAGGGTTATCCAGGCTGCTTATGCCCGACCCCTAGATGGCCGAATCATCCTTTTCAGCGGTGGGTAGGGGTCATGGGAACTGGATAGGACAGGTCCAAGGAGCTCCCCATCCCCCGCCCAAGTTACCAACCTGCCTCCTTCCAGGCCCCCAGTTCTGGGTGTTCCAGGACCGACAGCTGGAGGGCGCAGCGCGGCCACTGGTAGAGTTTGGGCTTCCCCCGGGAGAAGAGGTGGATGCTGTGTTTTCTTGGCCTCTCAATGGCAAGACTTACCTGATCCGAGGCCAGCAGTACTGGCGGTATGACGAAGTGGCTGCCCGCCTAGACCCTGGCTACCCACGCGTCCTGAGTCACTGGGAGGGGGCACCGCCCGCCCCAGACGATGTCACCGTCAGCAACACAGGTGTGGGGAACCCTGGAAATCCTCATTTGCGAATTGTGGTCCCTGGGGGCCCTAGGGAAAGGAAGGGGAAAGATGAAGGAGAAGGGATAACAACTAGGGGGCGTGCCCGGGCGTTGGTGTGGAAAAAAAGAAGCGGTGGCTTTGGGTCAGGCCTGGGCCCTGAGGTGTCTCCTCTCCCACAGGTGACACCTACTTTTTCAAGGGCACTCTTTTCTGGCGCTTTGCGAAGGGCAGTGTCAAATCTGAGTCGGATTCCCCCCAGCCCATGGGGCCCAAGTGGCTGGACTGCCCTGCCCCCAGCTCCGACCCTCAAGTCCCCAACCGCCCGAAAATGACACCCAAAACCGGAACCTGTGATTGTCACTGTGATCTCAATCAAGCCACAGGGCCGCTGTCAGTGACCCTCCTGTTGCCCCTCCTGCCCTTCCTGATTGGAGCTGTCTTTTTTTGCTGAAACCTGGTCCCTCCTAGCAGATCAGCTTCCTACACCGAAGAGAGTCGGAGTCTTCCGCAGCTGGACCTAGTGTGTGGGGTCCTGAGATCCTGCGGAGTCTCACTGTCTGTTCCCACGGGGAAACCAAGTTCACAGAGTTGGGCGGGTTCCTAGCAGAAGCCTGTGGATGTCTTGATTGGGGCGGGGCGGGGTGGGGGGGGGAGATACCAAACCTGCTTGCTATTAGGGCACAGGAGCTGTGGCAGTAGTCAGGGATACCGCCAGGGGGCGGTATGCACCCTTCTCCATCGCCAGGAATGGGGCTTTGCTGTGTGCAGTCCCTGGAGCTAGGAACCCATCCGAACTGCGGATTGAACACACAGTGCTCGGCCCTACCCCGTTGCTCCTCAGACACCATACCTGCCTCAAGTTGTGTGCTGTGGTGACTGACTTTCTGCACCCCTCTGATTCTCCACAATTGTTCATACTGGTAACAGTGGGACAGCAACTGTACTCTGACTAGATGGTTAAACAGGACCAGGACATTGAACTCCAGTGCCTCCGATAGCCGCTGAATGTGTTGCTGAACCTTCTTACTCTACATTCATTGTACTCTACCTTCCTTTATGGTCACTGCCATAGGGTGGGGCGAAGACCAAGAGCTGCTCCCTCCCCCAGGGTATACCTTAGACCCTGCTTGATGTCAGTGTTGGCGTGGGTGGGCAGTTGCTCTCATTTCAGATCACCCTCATATCAGAACACAACCGGCACGGGGGAGGGTCACCCCGAATTCAAGATCGTCAAATGCCATTGGAAGGTGTTCCTGCACCAAGCGAAGTGACCGCTGGTTCCTTCTGGACCACCGTCGCTCCCGTCTGCACAGTGCTGCGGTGGACAGGACCCTCTCAGCGATCCTATATTGCTTCCTCCTCCTCTTCCCTTTCCTTCTCACATACTATTTTCAGTTGTGTCTGTGAGTACAGGAGCCCAGCGGTGCTGGATCCTCTCGGAGGTGGAGTGGTCTGGTCGTGAGCCCAGGATCCTGAGTGTAGAACTCAGGTCCTCTACTAGAATAACATGTGACAGCTTCAGCCCCTGTCATTGCCTTCTGAGCCCTTCCCAGGGACCCAATGATACAGCTAAGGGGTGAAGAGAGCTGAGGCAGCTTCCTTCAACCTAACATCCTCATAGATTGAGGACATAGATCAATGATTCTAGAATATTCCTCATCAGAATAACTTTATGGGATTTTATTTTTTCAGGACAGGGTTTCTCTGTGTAGCCCTGGCTGTCCTGAAACTCACTATGTAGGCCAGCCTGGCTTTGGACATCCACCTGTCTCTGCCTCCTGAGTCCTAGAGTTAAAGGCACGTGTCAGCACCATCTCATGGGAGTTTAAGAATGCAGGTCCCATTCCCTCTGCCTGAATCCTCATTCTGGGGTGGGGGCAGGCATCTGCACTTTAACAAGTACGGGGTGGTGAGCGCTGAAGCACCAGGTCTTCTCAGTGCCGCTTCCTCTCCCAGGGACCATTTCTTCTTGTGTTCTCCACAAGGTCAGGCTGATGGCTGGGGAGCCATCTCCCCCAGCCTCCTTTCCAAGTGTGAACGGGCCAGATGTCATGGGGTCCTCAGTCGAGAGACAGACAGGCTGATTAGTTTATTAAGACAATACCTGGTAGCGAGCAAAGTGCTCTGAAAAGAGACTGAGCGGTAAGCAGCCTAATGGACAAGACCGGAGAAGTTCTATAAATTATTATGAATATTTATGAAGTAGGTGGAATATTGATTGGGTTATATGATCTTTTCCCATCACAAACCATGGTAGACCAGATCTTCCTGTCAAGATAATTCCACTGTTGGCTCCGTGAAAGGAAGGCGTGTCAGAAGGATTCAGAGCTTTTGTTAGTGCAGAGCTATAGGCTGAGTGACCTCACGATCTGGTTTCTGATCCCGTGGGGACAATGTGCCTGCTTCTTCAAGGATGTGCAGGCAAAGTGGGCAGTCTGGCCCTCAGGAGACAGCTACCAACATGCAGCTGTAGAATCCTTCATCACGTACCTAGCTCCTGGTCTACAGCGTGGTCTCTGCTGGAATCTGGAGCAGTTTAGAGACACAGTATTTTTGTGGCAGGCCTTTTCTTTTGAGCCACCAACCAGCTCCCAAATCACGACACGGAGACTTATTATCAGTTATGAATGTTCGGACGTATCTTATGTTTGTCCTATGAAGTCTTCTAACTTAAATTAACCTGTTTCTCTAATACATTTTTGCCTTGGTGCTTTTTGCCTTTCTTCCATTCTGTAAGTCCCATTCCTCGCCTGGCTGGCTGTGGCCTGGCCCCAGGAGTCTCCCTTCCTTTCTCCCTACTTCTCCTATCTCCTCTCTCACAAGCCTAGATTCCTGCTACCTATTTTCTCTGCACGCCGGCCCCGCCTATCCCTCTACTGCCTTGCTATTGGCCCTTCATATTTTCACTAGACCGATCAGGTGCCTTGGGCAGGCAAGGTGAAACAGCAACATCTTTACATAATTAAGCAAATGTAGCATACCTTTCCAGAGTTAAAGTAACATTCCACAACATGCTATACCCACGATTTAGTTACAGTTACAGTGAGATGAGTTAGGAGAGCCAGTGAAAGGGTAATGGCACCTTGTATGTATAGGTCCCTCAGGGCCTTCTGGGGTTCCCGTTAGAGTCTAAGCCTCAGACCAGCTCGCTGGCTTTTTCATAGAGCCCCATCTTCTGATCCTATCAGCTTTGCTATTTCATGCCCAGAAGCAAACCCTCTTGTTTTTATCCTCAGTGTTTTGAGCCTGTTCCACTCTGTAGCTCTGGCTAGCCTGGAACTGTCTATGTAGAGGAGGATACCTCATAGTCGCGAAGATCATCAGAGTTGTATGTTCTTTTAATGGTTTCATTAGATGCTAGTGAATCTCATCAGGCCTCTGCCTCTGAAGTGCTGGGATTAAAGGCTGGGAATAAACTCTGGTGCTTCAGGGTTCTTGATCCCTACAACTTAATCACATTACTTCACTTTAATTCACATGCTGGTTTTCGCCATAATCGGAAAGGAGGGAAACCAAGGCAGGAAGAGAACAAAAAGTAGTGGCAGAGGCGGAAGAAATGCTCAGTTGAGACCCTGACCTCGCAGGGGACTCAGTTCTGGTTCCCAGCACCCATGTGGTGGTAACTCCAGCTCCAGGGGATTTGATGTCCTTTTCTGACCCCTGTAGGCATGCGGTACACGAGCAAGCCAAATACTCCTATATATAAAAGTTAAATGTTTTTTAAAAGGTGATTAGAGAAAGCCTTTCATTTTTTGGGGAGCATTGATGGGTCTGGGGTGCAGGTCTGAAACAGACCTCAGTCACTGTTTCAGAGAAGCTGCAACCTGGGACCAGGTCGGGGTGGGGTGCTGAAGGACTTTTAAAGTGTGCGACCCAGCTGTTCTGAGGTTGCATGAATCCCAAATGGTGGAGAGGTGAGGCCAACAGCTTCCTCAGCCTCCTGGAGGAGTTAATTTGCTCTAAGAAAACCAGCTAGTTCTGGACAAGAGTAAAGAACCTGCCTAGGAGTCCTGCTGCCTCACATCCTCACCCTTCTCTGGAATGTTTGCCTTCCCACTCAGGCTGTGTGCACTGGCTTTGACTGTATCCCTCAAGCACTCCCTGTATCTGCACCCCCAGCATCCTTTTCAGATCTGTCAGTCACTGTGGTCCAATCCTGTACAAGAAAAGCTGGGACTCAGGCCAGTTCAGTGGAGCCCTGGTCGGCAGGTGGGCAAGGCCGCATCTCAGGGAGCTGGACCATGTGGATGTGAAAGGCATCCACCTGCTCTGCTTTCAAAGGCACAAGGATTGCAAGACTGAAGGGCTCTGGAGGGCGGCTGAGGTCTGGCCCCTGGTGTCAGGAGTTGAGTCCCTGAAGAGAGGTGAAGGGGTAGCTTAAGTTGCAGTGGAGACCCCAAGAAATGGAGATGCGAGAAACGTGGGAAGACCCATTTCTTACTTCAAGAGGGCCCAGTCACAGTTTGGACAAAGCAAAGCCAAACTCTAACAGGGCAAATAACTCAGTGTCCAGTGTCTGGGGTTCACTCTGGACCTTCTGGGCTCCTCCAAAGGGCTTGGGTCACTTCTCTGGTTCTGCCCCCTGCAGCACACACAGCTCGCCTTCTAGGCTCAGGCTGGCTCCACACCACAGCTGCTGCTCTTATCCCTGGTTGCCCTGTGGTACCGGCACCTCGAAAATGCTGGGGTCTCCCGGCACCTCGAAAGTGCTGGGGTCTCCGCTGCCGCTGGGCTGCACTTTCACCAACAGCTTCTCCTGGGCTCTCTCAGGAACTCCAACCCTGCCACAGAGTGCCAAGCCTCAGGGGCTCTCCATGATCGCTGTGTCCCTTCAAAGCCAGCACCACCTGGGTGACTTACACGACTACCAAGTTCTCACAGCACAAGTTTCTACCTTGGCCTGGTGGTGGCGGCACACATCTTTAATCCCAGCCCTCAGTAGGCAGAGGCAGGTGCCTCTCTGAGTTCAAGGCCAGCCTGGTCTACAAAGTGAGCTCCAGAACAGCCAGGACTGTTACATAGAGAAACCCTGAATCAGACAAAGACAAAAGAAAAACATCAATAACCAAGGTTCTACCTTGGTTGCCTCTAGAACACACTTTTGTGCACTACTCTCAGGAAATAATTCCCAAAAAGTTCGCCTCAGTGATGCTGGTTTCTTCCTGGTTTTGTTCTTGTTGTTGTTTCTTGTAGTTTTTTTTTTTTTCAGGGTTTCTCTGTGTAACAGGCTTGGCTGTCCTAGAACTAGCTTTGTAGACTAGACTGGTCTTGACTCAGATATCTGCCAACCTAGTCTCCCAAGTACTGGGATTAAAGATGTGTGCCACCACTGCCCAGCAAATCTTGGTTTCTTAGAGTGACCAGCTTGTTAAAGAGACAGGTTGTTGAGGGAGAATGCGAATAAAGTAATCCCACACTAACTCCGAATTGGGTCTAATAAAGGGTTCTTCATGAAAAGGGGACTCACAGATCACAGTCCTCTGCCTGAACAGGGAACGGGAAACGAATCCAGCATCCAGGTGAGAGAGAGACAGAGTGGGCATGTACCTTTCTGGTACCCAGGGCCATGCCCAACCTGGACCAGTCTCTCAAAGGTCATTGCTGAAGGAGGATCCCCAGCGGGATATGATCTTGTGTGTGTGTGTGTGTGTGTGTGTGTGTGTGTGCACATGTACGCTTGGGCCCCACAGGGCCTGTGTGGAAGTCAGAGGGCATCTTGTGGGAGTTATTCTTTCCTTCCTTCACGTGTGTCCTGGGGTCAAACTCTGGTGTCCTCAGGTTTCAGGGCGAGCACGTTACCCATGAGCCATCGCTCCAGCCGTGCTCCACACTGTAACTCTGTAATCATGAAGTTCACTTCTTTGGCCTGTGGAATCTTAACACTCATGTAGCTCCTCCCCACTCTACCCCCAAATTTGGGGACTTTAGTTGACCCAGGGAAAGAGCTGCCAGACCAAAAAAAAACAAAAAACAAAAACAAAAAACCCCAAAAACCTTGAAGTCCAATTTGGTAAATTCATGAGTTCACTGGGGGAAGCTTGCTTGAGCAAAAGGGTCCTTAAAGCCCCCACCCCCAGAGTGACACACTTCCTCCTACAAGGCCATACCTACTCCAGCAAAGCCCCACCTCTCTTTGTAGGTACTTAAAGTACTGGAGATATGATGTCTGCTACTTCAGGAAGTACTGCTTTGGATTTAGCAGTGGGTAACATTTAGCATCACCTCCACACATTCCTGGTTATAAAATAGCCACTGGAATGTATGGTCATCTTCCCCCAGGGACAGTAGGAATAAGTATGGGAAGCAGTAGTTTAACATCTTAAGGATGTATTGTTCACCTAGGAATTATAGATGTAGATTCCCGGGGAGAAATTAAAGTTATGGTTTATGGAGAAAAGACTATGCCAGTAGGAGCTGGCGTTAGAATCGCCCAATTACTATTGCTTCCCTGTCTTAAAGGGAAAGCAGCTCCAATACGTAGAACAGGAAGGCTTGGTAGTACTGGAAAAAGATATTTGGGCAAACAGTCATCAGTGATGAAAGAAGTAAATTAAAAATAAAACTAAGCCTGGTGATGACAGCACATGCCTTAAATCCCAGCACTCAGCAGGCAGAGACAGGCAGATCTCTGTGAGTTTGAAGCCAGTCTGGTCTACAAAGGCAGATCCAGGACAGGTTCCAAAGCTCAGGGAAACCCTTTTCTTTTAGGCTTACAACTTCATATTTCTTTATTTTTACATTCCTATTCCTGGATCCTACATTCCTATATTTTTATTTCCTTCAAGAAGAAAATTTTCTTTTACACTTCCTACTTACAATAATGCTCAGCCAGCAAAAATGATATAATTGTATTTTCCCCCCTGAAAATGTGAAATAATCCAAATTTATGCCAATATTTTGTAAATCATCAACTAGAATTTGTTTGTAAACAATTGCCTCAGATTATTGCTTATCATATTTAGGTGATATCTTAATAGCTGCCTCTGATACTGATATTCTTGAATAGGTGTTTGATGCGGTACAATAGATCTTACCTCAACAGGAATGCAAATTGCTCCTGAAAAAAACTCAAAGAGAAAATTCTTTACGTATCTAGGATTTTATTTGAGTAAACAAAAAATTCAACTCCAAGGTACATATTAGAAGAGATTATTTGCACTTAATTTTTTTTATTTTGGTATTTCGAGACTGTTTTTCTCCATGTAACAGCCCTGGCTGGCCTAAAACTCACAGAGATCTGCCTGTCTCTGCCTCCCAAGTACTGTGTGTGATTAAAGGTCTGCACCACCGCTGACAGGTGTCAATGGCACACTCTTAATGATTCTCAGAAATCATTGGGAGGTATCAGTTGGTTGCTGTTGGAGAAACTGCTGGCCAGCCTACCCAGCCTCAGTCGTCCTGCCCAAACCAGCCAGCGTGAGCATGCGCAGCACGTCATCCTGCCCAAACCAGCCAGCGTGTGCATGCGCAGCATGCACTTCTGCCCTGAGGCAACCTAGGTCCTCCCGCTAAGCCCAGAGACTGCTGATGCAGAGACACCTGACCAGAGATGCCAATGAGGGAAGGACAATGCAGCAGAGTCAGTCACCTGAGCCAATGGGATGCTGGCAGGGTGTGGAAACCCACAGAAGTGGATCTGTTCCACCTTGACTATAGGTCAGAGAGTTTAAACCTATTCTTGCTCCTTCAAGGTTGGTGAATTAATGAGTTCACTGGGTCACTTTCAGGAGCACAGGCAACTCACAAGAAGATCCATATCTGGAAGTCTCACTCCTGGTCAGTTGGTTTTTGTTTTTTGTTTTTTGTTTTTGCTGCTGCTGCTGCTGTTTTTGTTTTTGTTTTTGGTTTTTGAGATAGTTTCTCTAGCTTTGGAGCCTGTCTTGGAACTAACTCTTGTAGACCAGGTTGGCCTCAAATTCACAGAGATCCACCTGCTTCTGCCTCCTGAGTGCTGGGATTAAAGTTGTGTGCCACCACCGCCTGCCTGGCTCTCCTGGTCAGTTATTAACCCCTTGGAGACTTTCACATGTCCATTTTGTTTTTGTAAATGTTCTGTTTAGCCTGGGATTCCATCAGGCTCCCAGCTTGGAGAGCTTAGGCTGATTTGAGCTCCTGACCCAACACTCCCAGTTTTACTTCAGAGTTCCTAACGTGCTGTATAGTTGGGGCAGGGTAGAAGGTGGTATCGCCCTACCCTTTCAGAAGGAATGTGAACAGCCCTACCACCATAGATCTTGCCATTAGCTATATATTGTCTATTTTGTTTCCATTGTGACCACAGTGGCTCTGATTCCTGGTGGCAGTGGTCATGTCAAGCCTAGAGGAAACAGCCATATCACAGTTTCCCACACTACTTATTCACTGGGGACGGGTGAAGGAGTTTGACGAGGCCTAAGCTGCCAAGCTAGAGGCCAGGAGGTTGAGGAGAATTCAAAGAGCTGTAGGCAGATGAGACTTGCTTTATTTGTTGGCACACAGGCCTTACACACACGCAAAGGCAAAGGGCAACAGGGCCAAGGCACACCCCTGTGATAATAATGACCCATTTACACAAAATTCACCGAAAAGTGGCATTCTGCACATTAATTACATCACTCTTTACTCTGGGGCTGTCCAGGTATCCGGGGTCAGCCTTCATTTGATTCCTGTAGTTCTGGGATATCCTAGCTCCCCTTACTCACTCCTGATATCTCCTTTGTCTCTCTAACCATACTGGCCCCGAGCTCCTGTTCCCTACAGGAATTTTTCATCAAACAAGCAGATGACATGTGCACATCTGTATTTGGGAGTCTGAGACAGGAGGATGACTTGGGCCCCAGAATTTGAAGTCAGTTTAAGTTAGACACTATGTCAAAACAAACAAACAAGCACAAGCAAGCATCTCTCCTCTAGCGTACGACACAGAAAATGGACATGCTGACTGCAGCTCCGTAGGTCTAAATGTGCTGGCCCCACAGTGAGGGATCACGGAACACCTACTATGTGCCCGAGCGCAGTACTCTATCAGGAGTCCACCACAAGGCAGTCCTGCATAGTGACCAGTGTCCCAGGGTGCACACGGTAGAGACGATGTAACCTTCCAAAGGAGGAACTTTGCAGTGGGTTCCCAGATAGACCTGCTGCCTGCCCGTCAGAGAAGATTCCAGACAAATACCTGATTCCGTTAAAGCAACTTTTATTAAGGAACACGGGACAAGAGGAACAGAACTGACATCCAGGGAACAGGTGACACAGGGGCCTGAGGGTCAAAGTAGACAAAGTAGAAGTGGTCTTGAGGACATTCTGTGCAAGATGTGAGGAGAGGGCAGGTTGGCCCTGTTACCTACGCCTGCTTGGATGTTCTTCAGTTGAGTAAGGTTTCGGGAATTCTCATAAGGCAGAGTGTAGTGGCTGACTTGGCAGAAATGACAAAGGCATGAAAATTTTCCTTCAACTGCTTTTTGGCAGAACAAACTTAACCACGGCGTCTAAAGAATTTCTTTAGCTTATTTATTAAATCCTTGATTTTGCGCCAAATCTGTTTTAGGATTCCAACTTCATCTTGGCTCTTCTGGTTGTCACAGTCATCTTGTTCCTCTTCTGTCTGGTCTGGGATCTCCTCAGCCTGGGCTAGCTTCTCCTCGGCCTGGGCTAGCTTCTCCTCGGCCTGGGCTAGCTTCTCCTCAGCCTGGGCTAGCTTCTCCTCAGCCTGGGCTAGCTTCTCCTCAATCTGGACTCTGATCATCTGGGACTGGACTTGGGTTAACTGACTTTGGGTTAGGATCGTCCTAGCCTGTCTTAGGGTCTTCTCGGCCTGGGCTAGGATCTTGTCAGCCTCAGCTCTGGTCTCCACTTCCCCAGTGATGTCAGACAGACTCTGGTAGGAAAAGATCACACGGTTTAAAGCCGGGATCTTCACTTTGGTTCCCCAAATCCTCTTCCCAGACCTCATAATCCCCTTAAATGGCACCTGCTAACTGACCAGTTAGCCTGGGATCCCTGCCCTGTCCTCAATGTGGTGTAGGATGTGGACACCTCCTTCGTTCTCCAAGGCCTTCTATGTCCCATCACCTAGCACGGCTATGAACTGAGAAGTTGGTGAGCTGTATCAGTCTGTGCATGAAGCATGGGCAAGCCTGAGAACGCAGCTTCCTCACTGAGCCGGGACAACTTTCTCCAACCAACGAACAGGAGTTGGAGCCTGAGGCTGTTGGGACGTAAACCTGAGGTCGGAGGGCAAATTCCACGTCTGGTACCTTATGCTTCTTTGTTAAATTGATTCCAGACTTTTTTGAGACTGTTCCTTTAGTGAATTGACTCTGTAGACCAGCTTGCTTAGGGCCTACGGTCACCTTCCTGCCTCAGCCTTCTGAGTTCAGGAATTACAGGAGAGAGTCAGTAAGTACCTGCTCTACATAGCAATTTTTTGCTTGTAGACAAAAGAATCCTGTCTTTCTCTTTTTCCTTTTATTTCTTTCCTTCTCTCTGTCTCTCTCTGTGTCTCTGTCTGTCTCTCTCTTCCTCTCTCTCTCTCTTTCTTTTCATGTCTGTGTGTTGAGACAGGGTCTCACAGTGTAGCTGTAGCTTGCCTGAAACTCATTGTGTAGACCAGGCTGACTTTGAGTTCACAGCCGCCTGCCTCTGCTCCCCAAGTGTTGGGATTAAAGAGACATGCCACCTCATCTGGGCTGCCAAGGCTGTTTATCAAAGCATCTGTCTAAATACAGATGTGAATGTGGTAAGATACAGAGGTGGGATCATGCTGCTAGATCCTTCTTCCTCTTGGGTGCCATGAGGGCCAGAACGTCCTCAGCACCACAGAAGAACAAGGGCTAACAGTACTCTAGACCCACTTGCAGAACAGCCTTGCCAATGTGCACCAGCTGTACCAGGGATTGTCCTTTACCTGTGGAAATAATGAGCACTCTGCCCCTTCTGTGACCTTTGCCACCCCCCAGGCCTACAGATCCCACTGCATAGAAACGTGCAATGATGAACATCACCAGATGTGCCGGCTCAGATCGCTTCCAAGACCCTGGAGTCTAGCACCCCGACCAGCAATGTTTGGAACAATCTCTGCAGCTTATCCCCAAAGATTACCTGCAGCCTCTGAGTCTCTGGATTCTCAGCCTCTGGGAAACTGTCGGAGAAACCCTGGGGTCTGTGTTGTACAGGCTGCTCCACATCTGAGGAGAGGGAAGGAGAGTCCTGTAGGAAGAGAGACTGCTCAGGGCTGATAGCTTAAGTTGCTTAGCCCAAGGTCTGACTCTCCGGCTCCTGAGCCTCCTGAGGCCACCTCACATCTGTGAGCGCCGTGGGGAGAGAGGTCAGTTTCCTGAGTACATTTCCACAGACACACAGCCCTTTCCTAGAGCCCTTACCCTACACTCTCCTCTACAAGGGGCCAGAGCTCACTGGACATGAGCGTGCACACACAGGGCTGACTTTCAGTTCGGATCTGAGTGACAGAGGGCCTGTGTTTGAGAGGAGGGCACTGCTTTCCCTGTTTGTGGAGCAGGGACATAACTCAGCCTGGCCTGTTACTCACTGTCGAACCAGGCTGGTCTTCAAAACAGAATTCCTGCCTCAGCCATGGTGCGCTGTAATTACAAGTGTGACCCACCACACTCAGATCAAGGGATAGTTTTTTTTTTAATGGTGACGTGTGACCTGGTTATTAACCCAACAGTTTATCTTCATTTCTGCTTTGTTTTGTGTTTTGAGACAGGGTTTCTTTGTCCTGGAACTCACTCTGTATCTGCCTCTCTCTGCCTCCCAAGGTCTGGGATTAAAAGTGTGCGCTACCATTGCCCAGCTACCCTCATTTCTTACCTACATTCCTCAGTGTCTCTAAGTCCCTTTTCTCAACCTCACTCAATCATGCCCCAGCCCTCCGATCTAGAATTATCCCTGTCTGCAGTCTGTCCCAAATCCAGACCTGCCTCATCATTTGTAGGACTTAAAGGAAGAAGGTTTTGGCCCTCTGCTCAGAGATGACTCAGAATGTGAGGTGGGGTGGTCCACATGGCGACCATGGCTGCTTGACAAAGGCCACTTTGACAGTGCATCACAATTCTCCAACATTCATTCACTTTCATCTTTACTGATTCTCACTATGCGTTATGGGAGTTCCCTTATGCCTTTTCCTTTGTAAAAGTGTGTTTGGGCTTTGAAGGATGAAGATGTATAAAATGAGCTGGGCAGTGGTGGCACATGCCTTTAATCCCAGCACTCGGGAGGCAGAGGAAAGCGGATCTCTGTGAGTTTGAGGCCACCCTGGGTCTACAAGAGCTAGTTCCAGGACAGGCTCTAAAGCTACAGAGAAACCCTGTCTCGAAAAACTGAAGGGGAAAAAAAAGATGTATAATATGATAGCCCTCTCTAAACAAAATAATTATCTGGAAAAGAATCCCCTCTACTGTAGAACCAATGCAGTGCCCAGCCGTGACAAGGTCAACAGAGGCCTCAGTTTCAGATTACCTGTGTAATGATTGTCCTGTCTCTTTAAGAGACAAGCCACCCCACCCCCCCCTCTGCTGAGACAGGCTGATCTTCAGCTTCTGGCCTGAGTTCCTTCTCTTTCCATCTCCCTCTTGGAGAGGCAGCTTCTGTCTCTCCTCTCTCTCTCTCTCTCTCTCTCTCTCTCTCTCTCTGCCTCTCTGTTCTTCTCCTCTTCTCCCCTCCCTTTCATAACCACTAAATAAATACCCAACCTCACTCTGCATGTTGTGCCTATTCATCTGTCTCTTGCCCGCCGCCACTGTGTGGTTCCCTACCCTGGACCAGCCACCTTCAGCGACCTGCAGCATGGTCTCATATGCAGTCCCTGCCTAGGATTGGCTGCTCTCGGGACCTGCTGCCCCCTGCCTGTCACCACATGGCCCGCTGCTTGCCACCGCTGGGGATCCTGCAGCATTTTTAATAATCCACTACTTTGGTGCCGTGACTTGAATAGGCTCTCCTGCCCTGAGTTCCTCTCCCAGGGTCAGAATCCTGAACCAGGTATTTTTTTCCATAACCACATATTCCATATGCCTGAGTGAGATTTCTACAGCATGATTTCTACTCATACCATTGGCTTCAGTTGGTGAGTTTCCCCATTCTGGTCAGCTTAACCGTTTCTCTGAACCAGAGGAATTGACCGTTGTTCTCCAACAATCCTCTGGTGTTCCTAGAAATGGGGGGACTGCTCCCAACCATGGTCTTCAAAGCTAAGGTTGTGCCCTTTGCTGACATTCATCTGGATTGCTTTCCTAGTTGAAATTGTGTTTGGAAAGGCCCAGGGTCAATCCACCCATGACTGGGGGGCCCAGGGTACCTTCTTTCTCTCTCTTTTTTTTATTTCTTTTCTTTTTTTTCCCCCTCGCTGTAAAAGGCCGCTTGGAGCCCGACCGGATCCAGTCAGGCTGTAGCACCCCACCTGGGGGTCAGGGGACTCCCTCCCACAGGTTTTGCAATGTTCATGCCGATTTGTACCCCACCTATGGGGGAGACGTCCCATTATAGGCCTTGTGGTGGTGTTGTTTCATGGGTTTCCACAATTTTAGCCTTGGGTAGCAAGCCATCCATGTTTGTCCCCCTGAGGTGGAAGCCTTAATGCCCTACTTCTTCAGCTCTCACCCTCACTCCGCCAGTGTCCCTCCAGCTCCACTTTCTTGGGAACTTTCTAACTATTGTCAGCACACAGGCAAATGGACCCTACCATGGCTACTGCTACCAACAAAATTGGATCCACGAGGTAGCTTTTTTTCAATTCCAGTCTTTTGTTCCCCTCTGAGGCGTGTGGCACGGTGGCGTGTGGCATGGCAGCTTGTGGCATGGTGGCTCAGCGACAGTGCAGATTACGCCTCTAGGTCTCCCTTATTATTAACCCTGAAGCTCAAAAATTGTGACTTTTCCATCTCTTATTAAGTTTAAAATCTTTGCAACTCAAAAATTGTGGCTTTTCCATACAACATGTGACTGCTGCCATTTTGACTGAAGTCAGGTGACTTCACCGCCATCTTGGTTGAGAGCCAGGTCAGGTGACCAAGTTCCGCCATCTTTACTGAGGTATTCCCTGTCTGATTCACCAGTGTTAACTCTGTTGAATGGGTGCCCTTACTGTCATCTTAACTGAGAGCCAGGTCAGGTGATCAAGTTCTCCCATCTTTTCTGAAGTATACCTTGCCTTGTCCCCCAGTTTACTTATGTTTATTTCTCTAAATTCCTCTTGCTGACTCTGTTGCATGTGTGTTTTGCGCAGTGGCATGCCTTTGGTAGGGCCCACCAAGAGTATCTACTTTGTCCAATTCCTGTTCACTCTCTGTATGTATGTTCATACATGTAATTTAAATGCACCCATGCTTAATGTTATAATTGTTCATTGCATCTCATTTTAGACTACAAAAACACTGTCTCATGTTTTAAACTGGTAAGTACTTTCAAGTCCCTTACAAAAATACTTTATATTTAATCCAACCCTCATTTAAAATATATTATCTGTTCTCTACTATTGTCAGTTCTGCCGTTAACCTTCTACTGCAAGCAGTTTTTTCTTCTTTCTATCTTTTTACAAGTATAAATCTTACCTGTTAAGGTGAGAGCCAGTGCAGTCAAGCTTGGACCCAGCTCTCCAGGCAGATTCTATACCGTAGCTGTACCTGATAAACAACCCTCAACTGCTCAGAGATCTGGGGAATATGGCACTTAAATATTTAATTATTAAAAAAACTTTTTATAGGGGGCTGGAGAGATGACTCAGAGGTTAAGAGCACTGGCTGCTCTTCCAGAGGTCCTGAGTTCAATTCCCAGCAACCACATGGTGGCTCACAGCCATCTGTAATGAGATCTGGTGCCCTCTTCTGGCCTGCAAGCATACATGGAGGCAGAATGTTGTATACATAATAAATAAATAAATCTTTAAAAAAACAAAAACAAAAAAAACCCCAAAACTTTTCATAACAAAAAAAGACAGGTTGGTTCCTAGCAGCAGCACTCTATTTTCTCCAAAAAAGACAAAAGACAAATGGATACACAACAACGTCCATCTGCAATTCGCTGCAACTGCTAAGCGCTGACCATCAGGCACAACCGCCTTTCATCTAAACTAAAGATCTCCAGACGTGGACAGAATCACTGGAATTGGCAGCCTAGCTGCTCAGATCAAGGTAGGCTTGTTTTCCTACAGATTTCTTAGCCCACAGGATCTTCTGGAGCCTGTCAGGCCCCGCGCTAAACAGCAGAAGACAAATACGACCCTCAGTGACCATGGAGGACCCTGAAGAGTAGCTCTAGGTGCCAACCAAGTAAGTTCTCTGTTGTTTTTTAAATCAGCAACTCAAGTAAAGTTTTGTCCTTCCCAAAGATCTCTGATGCAGTTTGACAGCTGAGAGGTTTTGTCAGTTTAAAAGGACAGCCTCACCAAACAAATTTCAGATCATATTTCTCTCTCATGCTGCCTTCCATAGTCTTAAAAATTCTTTTCATTGTACAAAAATATCTGTCACAGTCATTCTGACATAAATATGCTACTGGTTATACAAACCCAAAGAATTCTTGTAAGTTCCAGGGAGCCAAATTGAAGGATCCACTTAAACAAGGCAGATACATCTTTTAGGACCCTCAATTCCTTAATTTAACTTTGTCCTCTCTTCTGCCAATACCTGAAACACCAGATAAGAGCAAAGAGACCAGCTATGCCAGGATGTGGCCAGCACCCAGCCTTCTCAGGTTCCACCCAAAGACAATGCCCACAAATATCAGGGAGAAGTCTTGGGATTCCGCTGCACCAATTCCTTTAACCTGTGGTGCCTAAACTCCTGCCTTTTTATTATAAAAAAGAGATGGGAATGTAATGATTGTCCTGTCTCTTTAAGAGACAAGCCACGCCCATTCCCCCCCCCTCTGCTTTGACAGGCTGATTTTCAGCTTCCAGCCTGAGTTCTCTGTCTTTTCTGTCTCCCTCTCAGAGAGGCAGCTTCTGTCTCTCCCTCTCCCTCCCTCTCTCTCTCTTCTCTGTCTCTCTCTCTCTCTCTGCTCTTCTCTCCTTTTTCCTTCCCCTCCATAACCCACTTAATAAATATCCAACCTCACTCTGCATGGCATGCCTATCCATGTCTCCACGGCTTGGGGACCTGCAGCTGTCCCTGCCTGGGACTGGCTGCTTTCAGAGCCTGCTGCTTGCTACCACATGGCCCACTGCCACCGCTTGGGGACCTGCAGCATTTCTGCTGCCTGCTGCCACTGGGGATCCTGCAGCATTTTTAATAATCCATTACAACCTGGTTGCAAGAAATACCACAAACTGAGACCACCCAGGAACCGCCCAGGAATGGACCATATCTAACGTTCCAAAGGAAATTGCTAACATTCCAACCATTGTAGATAGGATCACCCAAAGTCCCTTTGCCCACCTATTCCTTTTCACCCCTAGATAAATGTCAGCCAATCAGGGGGTCCTGAACCTTAGAAATCCCTCACCCAAACCTCTTCTATGATAACAAACAAACAAACAAACAAAAAACACGGCAACTGAGCTTGAGGCTCTCTGATGCCAAAGCCTTGGACACGCAGAGAGTACAAGTCCAAACTTGAATAAAGACTCTTTACTTTTACATATGGGATTTTGTCTCTGTGGTGGTCTTTTGGGGGTCCTCGCAATCTGGGCATTACAACCAAACAGTGTGATAACTCTGTCTACTCCCATACAAGTTAATACTGAGCAGCTAGAAAATTTAGATAAATAACTTTTGCTTGATAAATGAGGTGTATTTGATAGTCAAGATTTATAAACTCCTAAAGTCCACTTGAGTTCACAGAAAAATTTGTCTGGCCTCGGCTTTGGTCACTTTTAAGCTTTAGGAATCTGGAAAGACTGCGCCACACAGAAGCGACAATGTTCTTTAATATCATGTCTGATCTCCCAAGAACGTCCTTTCTTCCAAGGCCAGGCACTTCAACAAAAAGCCCCATTCTCTCAGGGGCTTGAAGAAAGTTCCTGCTTAGCATTCCTATCTCTGGCTATAATAGGAACTTGTGACCCTCCATTAACATATGACTGGTGCCTCTTAATTTGTCAAGATCAATGTTTGGAGTTCTTGATCCCTTTCAAGGCACACCCCAGTTCACATGCCTCCTTCTCCCATTTAATTCTATTTTATAAGATTAAATTATACTCTACAGTTATAGGATATAAAAGGTGTAGTCTTTTTTTCAATAAATATGCAGGCAGTCATTCCAATTCACCCTCAGATCTTGTCAATCTCCTCCTTTCTCCCCAGCCAACTCCACACATCCTCCTTGGGACCAGAACACCCACCAAAGCTGGGCTCCAGCAGCTAGGACAGGGCAGTGACAGCAGAGCTGTCACCAGGTGAGCAGGACATCTGGAGAGACTCATTAGTCTCCTGACTAAAGGGTGGGTTTTGTCCAAGGAGAACTGAGGGAGAGCTCCCAGGACCCAGCCCACTACCTCCTCTCACTCACCTTGGTGCCACCCATAGCTCAGCAAGGTTCAGGGTTGAAGACTGTTTGGAAGGAACAGAGGAGGGGGAAAATTCATTAGATAACGTCCAGGACACTAGCCCAGAGAGTCATGGGCATGGGCCTCAGGAATGGAGGCCCAACTCCCTCTAGTAGGATATCTGCTACTGACCTTGTCCCCAGGGTTCTGAGCTCTACTAAGATTGTCACCTTTCCCTTCTTGTCCTCCCAGCACGAAGGGTAGCTGATGTCTGAAGGAAGGAAGACCCTGGCTGTTCTGACTCCAGAGAAGGAAGGAAGGAAAGGTGGAGCTTCCCTGGGTGGGAAATTCCCTCAGAGGAGAAAAACTGGAAAGAAAAGGGAAAGAGAAACAGACAGAGGCACACTGAAGCAGACTGAAGGCCAGAGAGGCACCTTGACCCACTCCAGATGCCAGAAAACCGAGTCAGAGCACAGCGGCTCACCCCTCTTCAGTGCAGCAGGGTTAGATGGGGATATAGCTCAATACAGACTGCTTTCTTTAGTGTGGGCCACATAGTGGGCTGACTCCATGCTGAAAAAAAAACAAGAAAAAGTCCTGACTTGGAGGAGGAGGTGGAAAATGCCGGTGTGGATGAGGACCACAGCCAGGTGTGTGGGTCAGAGGGAAAACCTAACCAGGCATGTGCAGGGCACTGCACCCTTCTAGAACCCTGACAAGCTCTTGCTGCAGCTGATGGATGAGGAGAGGAGGCAGAACCTGTCAGGCACCGGAGTAGACCTTTGGGGCTAGAGGTCTGGGAGGCTGTCTTAGTTAGGGTTTCTATTGCTGTGAAGAGATACCATGACCATGGCAACTTTTTCTTGTTTTTCTTTGTTTGTTTCTTTGTTTGTTTTTGTTTTTCGAGACAGGGCTTTTCTATAGCTTTTGGAGCCTGTTCTGGAGCTAGCTTTTGTAGACCAGGCTGGCCTCTAATTTACAAGGATTCACCTGCCTCTGCCTCCCAAGTACTGGAATTAAAGGTGCGTACCACCACCACCTGGCGACCATGGCAACTCTTATAAAGGACAACATTTATTTGGAACTGGCTCACTTGCAGCTCAGAGGTTCAGTCCATTATCATGGCAGGGAGCATGGCAACTTGTAGGCAGACATGATGCTGGCAAAGTAGCTGAGAGTCCTACATCTTGCAGGCAACAGGAAATGGTCTGAGTGTCACACTGAGGGAAGCTTGAGCAAAAGAGACTCAAAGCACACTCCCACAGTGACACACTTCCTCCAACAAGGTCATACCAACTCCAACAAAGCCACACTTCCTAATAGTGCCACTCCCTATGACGTTACGGGGACAATTGTGTTGTGGGATAATGTTTTCGTACACTGTAAAGATTTGTCACTCAGTTTAATAAAATACTGATTGGCCAGTATCCAGGCATGAAGTATAGGTGGGGCAACCAGACTAGGAGAATTCTGCAAAGAGGAAAGGCAGAGAGACACAGTTGTCATCGAAAAGCAGAGGAAGCAAGATGAGAATACCTCACTGAAAAAAGGTACTAAGCCACATGGCTAAACATAGACAAAAATTATGGGTTAATTTAAGTTGTAAAAACTAGTTAATAATAAGCCTGAGCTAATAGGCCAAACAGTTTACAAATTATATAAGCCTCTGTGTGTTTCTTTGGGACTGAGTGGCTGTGGGATGGATACACACACACACACACAGAGAGAGAGAGAGAGAGAGAGAGAGAGAGAGAGAGAAACTTCCGTCTCCATAATTGCATTCAAACTCTCACAGAGGTGGAAGCAGTAGTCACAGCAATGCCATTCAGTAGAAACAGAATGGCCCTGAAGAGGACTGAAGGCAGCCTGGGCTCTCTCCTCACCTAAGTAGGTTCTCCTGCCCCTTTTCTGCCATGGCCAGAATTCTGAGGTTCTTTTCTGAAATCTGGACAGTCCTTCACTACTCCAATGATTGGCCTCACATGACCAGCTCTTTTTCATGCCCCAGTTTTGGACCAAAGATTCTCCCATATCTGCTCAGGCATCACATGACCTTCTGTGTTATTCCCCCAGGCGGATGGACTAATCTAACACCAGACTATTGACTGGAATTCATCCTCTGGAGGACCAGCAGTCTACAGACACAGTCTGACATCCAGGTGTGACTAACACAGGTTCCTCTGAGTGCCCAGACAAAAAGGGCTGTTCCTGGCTTCTCTCTCATTGTGAGGACAATGTCAGGTTCACAGGGTACACTCTGTGCAGAGAGAACATGCCAGATCTCCCCAGTTTCCCTGGTTACAGGATCTTCCTTGTCATAGGATCATTTCTCCTGGTGGTGAGCGTGGGGAGCAGAGGAAGCCCTGAATGTGAGATCCTGAGTGAATGTGTGTTGTGTTCACAACCATGACAAAGACCAAGACCTCAGTGCAGTTCCCATGTCGGACAGGCTTGAAGTTGACAAAGCTTCCTTTTCTCTGGTCCAAAAGTGCTTAAAAAATGGTTGATGGGCTTGCACAAACCCTAGCACTGCAGCTTCTTCCTCCCACGGATGTCTCCTGCCTCAGACTGCTGCCCTACAGAGACCTCATACTGAGCTTAGCCAGCCCCTCCCCTGTACAGCACATTAGAAACCTGCTGAGGTTTCGATTTGGTGATACTAGGTGCCAAAGATGAATTTTATGGTTTATGTTTGAGAAGGTAAAATATACACTGCATGTTTTGTAGGTGTAGGTTTTTTTTTTTAGGTTTATTCCTTTATGTTTATAGTCAGGATTTTTAGGGGATATTCCTCGATCAATTACTCTGGAATGAATCTACAGCCTCTCATTTTCTGTGGCAATAAAATCTCAACCTCTTCTGCAAAGCAATACAGATTTTTACTCTAAATTTTGAAGTCAAGATTTTTTGTTTGTTTTTTGTTTTGTTTTGTTTTTTGAGACAGGGTTTCTCTGTGTAACAGCCCTGGCTGTCCTAGAACTAGCTCTTGTAAACCAGACTGGCCTTGAATTTACAAAGATATGCTAGTCTCTGTCTCCCGAGTGCTGGGATTAAAGTCATGTGCCATCCACCACCACCTGGCCAAGATATTTTTAAAATATATAAATTGGTTTAATTTGGCAGTTTTTATAATCCAGTTTCTCTTAGCAGCCAAAAAGAAATTTTTTTTTCTAGTCTTGGTTTTTCAAACCAGGGTTTCTCTGTGTAGCTTTGGAGACTGTCATGTTGTTCTGGAAATCACCCTATAGACCAGGCTGGCCTAGAACTCACAGAGATCTGCCTACCTCTGCCTCCTGAGTGCTGGGATTAAAGGTGTGTGCCATCACTGCCTGGTGCAGCCAAAAATTTTAAAGAGAACATAATAACATACAGGATGCAGACTCTGCTTATTTTACATCTGTCTTCTTATAAATATCACTTTGCTCACTTTTCAATGACTTTATTATTTTAAAACTATATTTTTAGAGACATACATGGACCTAATCTACATGGGAAGAGAAAATGACAAGATCTCCTGGGTAAAATGGGAACATGGGGACCTTGGGAGAGGGAGGAAGGGGAAAGGGAGGAGGCAGGGAGGGGAGCAGAGAAAAATGTAGAGCTCAATTAAAAAAATCAATTAAGGGGATGGAGAGATGGCTCAGCAGTTAAGAGCATTGCCTCCTCTTCCAAAGGTCCTGAGTTCAATTCCCAGCATCCACATGGTGGCTCACAACCATCTGTAATGAGGTCTTGTGCCCTCTTCTGGCCTGCAGGCATATACACAGACAGAATATTGTATACATAATAAATAAATAAATATTTTAAAAAATCAATTTTAAAAGATTCTTAAAAAAGACTATATTTTTTTATGAGTGTCTATACCCTTTTCTTTTCTCTCCCAAGCCTTTATACATTGTTAAACACACAGTAACCCATTTAGAGGCTTTTTTCATCTGGATCTGTCTTTACTGTGTATCTGTAATCTTTTTCTGACTGCATGAGCCTTTATACTGCTCAGCAGTGTGGCTAGGACCTCTGCCTCAGCTTTGGCAGCTGGCTCCAACTGCGTGGTCCCCTGAGAGGCAGAGCTTCACGGCGAAGGTACTGGCTAAAGCAACGTTTATTGTACCAACCCTGGTGAGATTTTGGGTTCATGCTACCACTGAGTAGTGTGCCACGCGCTGCTCATAAACTCCAAACAAATGTTTAGTAGCAAGGCCTCCAGAAAGAACTCAAAGCTCCAGCAGTAGGACAGGAGATACCCAGACAAGGTTTTCCCTTGGCCCTCTTACCATACCCTACCTGTGATGGCAGCACCCCAGCCTGGGGGCTTTTTGTACACATGTCACATCCTGTCTACAAAACTTCTTTTTAGATTAGAAGGTAATTTTGGGTTGTCAACTTGACTGAATCTGGAATCAACTACAGCACAATCTGACTACACCTATTGTGTGTGTGTGAATATGTGTGCGTGTGGTTTTTTGAGACAGTGTTTCTCTGTAGCTTTAAAGCCTGCCCTGGAACTGGCTCTTATAGACCAGGCTGGCCTCAAACTCACAGAGATCCACCTGCCTACCTGCCTCTGCCTCCTGAGTGAGTGCTAGGATTAAAGGCATGTACCACCACTGTCCAGCCTGACAGGAACGCCTGTGTAGGACTTGATCAGATTATTTGAAGTTTGAAGACCCTCCCTAGATAGGGGTATCAATTTCTGGTATGGGAAGAAAGACTTGCCTATGGCTTGCTTTCATGTTTGTTGGCAAATTCAGCTCTGGTTGCTGCCACTGCTGTGTTCCTCTGCTGATAGAATCAGGTTCCATGGCATTCTAACGAAGACTGTACGGGCAGCTCCTTGGAGATTTTTTAGGTCTTTACAGTCAGATGGGAACTGCTGAGCTACCCAGTCTCATGAACTCAGGGTTTCTCAGCCTCTCTAGTGTGAGACAGCCAGAAAATCCTTTTTTTTAGTATACATTCACCCTATCCATTCTGTTCCACTATAGAATGCTGAACAAGAAGGCCTGCAACTAGTCTGAGTCCCACACATTTGCTTAGGGGCAAGGGCGGGCCCACCATTGCGTCATAATCCAACCTTACTTTGTCCTTGGTCAAGGCCTGGAATTTCCTGTTGCCTACAGCGTCAAGTGTTTTTGAGTCTTCTACCTTGTAAGTGCTGCAGTGCTGATGGAAAGGTATCCTGGCCGTCGGGAACCAAGGAATAACCGCAAGTCACTGTACACAGCGGCACACAGCTCCGCTGCAGGGGAGGTTTTCCCAACGGAAGTGTAACGATTCTGTTTTAAGTACCAGTGTAACAATTCTGCCCCACTAAAGTAAGGTTTCCCCAGGGAAAGGGTTACGGTTCTACTTCACTCCCAAAAGTTGTTACAGCTGGGCTCCCTGCCCTCTGTGGAACACAACAAACCTCACTCAAGACGTTTACTGGGAAGTAAGAATCCAGAAGTTCGGTTGCCTTGGGAAAGAAACAACAGCAAATGGAACAGGGTACAGGCCTTATATAGGATTTCTTGGGAGTGGGCGGAGGTGTAGCTCTCCAAGGTGGCTTGGGATTGGTGGACTTTTGTAGCCTGACTCTGAGACGAGCTCAGGGATTGGTGGGATTTCAAGCCCTGATCCTGGGATCAAGTCAGGGGCAGGGTGTTTTTCCTTGGCCCTTTTACTGTACACTGCCACTCTGTGAGCACCGTAATGAAAATTCATGAGAAGGGTGACGACCTTAGCGCTGTTCTCTCTGGCTTTGTCCCTTTAACATATTGCTGGGACTGTGTGTCACTCCGTGACTCTGCACTGGATCACTGAAGGGAGAGAAATCTGCCCAGTAACATTATTGGTAGAGATGAAATCATCCCCTCTTGAATGGCTCGCCATAGCTTCCCAAAGTGAAGCTGTCCTCGGCTGCGGTGGGCCTCTCCCCTTGCGCTGCTGCAGGCCTCTCCTTGCAATGACCATAAAACAAGAGAGACCCAGTGCAGTGGCAAGTGTCACAGCAGGACAAGCACTTAGAAACTAGCTTCTAGCCGGGCAGTGGTGGCGCACACCTTTAATCTCAGCACTGGGGAGGCAGAGGCAGGCAGATCTCTGAGTTCGAGGCCAGCCTGGTCTACAAGAGCTAGTTCCAGGTCAGGCTCCAAAGCTACAGAGAAACCCTGTTTCGAAAAACCAAAAAAAAAAAAAAAAAAAAAAGAGAGAGAGAAAAAAGAAAAAACTTCTAATGTTTGTTGAAAGCAATGTAGCTAAAACTTCAATAGAAAGTGACAGCATGCGTCCAGAAAACGGTCAAGGAAAAGTGTGTGGAGCACCAGCGGTGGTTGTGGGATCAGGCTTTAGGGAAAATGTGGAGCGGTGCGCCATTTGGTGTGACAGCTGGGGCAAGGTTTTTCCCCTAGAATGTAACTGCACAAACAGCTGGGGCTGGTGGCGCACGCCATTAATTCTCCATTCGTGAAGCAGAGGCAGGAGGATCTCTGTGAATTCAAGGCTAGCCTGGTCTACATAGTGAGTTCCAGAACAGCTGGGGTTATGTAGAGAGTCCCTGTCTCAAAGTACATACATACATACGTACATACATACATACATGCACAAAAGCAGTTGTAGCCATGAAGCATCATTCCTTATTTGGAGGTGACATTTCTGGGAGTATATACACACAGACCTCTGTTGAAATGAAGTCACGTGGAGCTGCCCCTTCTGAACAATTCACTGTGTAAATAGATCAAACTGATGAAATCTAAACTCAAGGAAAACAATAAGAAACCCAATCCCTTACATTGGTTGGTGGGTCAAGCACCTCCCTTCCCTGAACTCAGAGATCCGCCTGTCTCTGCCTCCCTAATGCTGGGATTAAAGTGCACCACCACTGCCCGGTTTTGTTGTTGTTCTTAAAGACAGGAACTAAATTGGTCTCAAACTCTCTATGCAACAGAGATAAACCCTGAACTCCCAATCTGCCTCCCTCCACCCCCAGATGGTTGTGTGTATGAGACCTTCCTTGGATTTATTGTTTTATAATATTTATTTTGTATATGTGTGGTGTTTTAGCTTGATGTATACAGTAATCTTGGACGTCAGAAGCTTCAGATTCCCTGGTACTAGAGTTAGAGTTAGCACCATGTGAATTTTGGGAATTGAACTTGGGTCCTCTGAAAGAGCAGTCAGTGCTTTTAACTGGTGACTGTTGAGCTATCTCTCCAGGGCCCCTTTGCTTTTTTTCCCCTTAAATTTAATTCGTTGTTTTTTATTTATTTATTTAGGCAGAGTTTTTCTATGTGGCCCTGGCTGTCCTGAACTCTGTGAAAATCGGGCTGCTCCTGAACCCTTCCTCTGTTTCCCGAGCGCGGCACTAGGACAAGGTTTAGGCAGGATCTTGTCATGCAGTGCAGGCCTCAAACTCAAGATCCTCCTGCATCCCAGGTGTGGGGATTCCAAGCACGAGCCACTTGTCTGTTCCTGACATTTCCGTTTGGTTCGTTTTTTGACAGTTCTGAAAACTGAGTCCAGGGCCTTATGCATGCTAGACATGTACTCTATATGCGTGCTCTAGACGTGTACTCCAGACGTGTGCTCCAGATACGCGCTCTAGACGGCACTCCAGATGTGTGCTGCAGACGTGTACTCGATGCGTGCTCTAGACGGCACTCCAGATGTGTGCTCCAGACATGTACTCTATATGCGTGCTCTAGACGTGTGCTCCAGATGTGTACTCCAGATGTGTGCTCCAGATGTGCGCTCCAGACGTGTGTTCCAGATGTGCGCTCTAGACGCGTGCTCTAGATGGCACTCCAGATGTGTGCTCCAGACGTGTACTCTATATGCGTGCTCTAGACGTGTGCTCCAGATGTGTACTCTAGATGTGTGCTCTTCCTGTCCTCGGTTCACCTTTCAGACGAGGTTTTCCGTGTCGCTAAGGCCGGACTCTACTCCTCCGGCATCAGTCTGTCCCACAAGCGTTGCTAGTCACGAAGTCAGGCCCTCCCTCGCTAGGAAGGATGCATCTCAGGCTCTGTCCCCTTCAACAACCCAGCATGCTTGGCATTTATCTTGATAGACCCATCTTAACCCTGTGGGTGCGCCCTCCTAGGCTCTTAGCGAACTAATCCTTTCTGTTTGAAGTTTCCTTCTCCAGGACCGTTAATGAAAGAAAAGCATTCTGTGACCACCAGGTACATGACCACATCCTAACCTTCCAACCTCTGGGGGCTGAACCTTGTCCAGAGCTTGGAGATTGCTGCTGCCTGGGCCTAAGAGTCACCACACGGTTGGGGAGCATCTCACTGGTGAAGCAGATTCAGCATGTGGGGTCCTAGGTTTGATATCCATGTACACACGGGCGCTCACACACGCACCACACACACACACAGTTTACACTTCCCCCATTATTTACAGTCAGCTCTTGCTGCAGAGCTCTGGGTGGAACTTAGTTCCTGCCATGAAATAGTATTTTGTGAAATCCACCATTAAAAAAAAAAAAAACAAAACCAAAAAAACAAAATATACAGCCTTTTCCTTGAAAGCCCGTGACAGAAGTTTTAGAGCCAAACTTCTGGCTTCTTCCTTTTTCTTATTCTGTTTTTACCCAAAGTCACCTGACTTACAGGCAAGGAGGCAGCTAAGACTTTCTGATGTGTAACATCCAGGCATAGGGCCAATGTCCAAACCAGCATTGAATTAGAGGATTGTGGGTGGTTAGCTGATCTCAGCAGATAGCCGATTTGCCTTGCCACCAGCTTTTGTTCAATTTCTGGCATTGTTCAGTTTGGGAAAGTTACAAAGTCTCCACACCAAGTTTCCAAGGACACTCCCGTGTTACCCTAGATTCTTTCTTAGGGAGTTCCACTAGCCACAGGAGCCTGAGATGTGAAGTTGGGGACACCGAGTTCAGAAAGATGCCTGAGAAAAGCTGAGGGTGACTGTGCTGGACTTTCTACCCTCAGTTGTCCATCACTCTGGGCACCTTCACCTTTTCAGCCCGCTAGAGGACCTTCTGAAGTCAGGAAGACAAGAAGGAACCATGTCACCAGGGTGGGGGTGGGGGAATGTGGTGATTGATGGGACTTTGCTGGTCTTGGATAGAAGTCAGAAGAGGACAGCTCAGCACTATGACTCTTGGTTGACATAGGTAGATCCTCAACAGGGGAGAAGCAGTTCATTTGGTTGAGTGTTTGCCTTGAAGGTCCTCGGTTTGATACTCGGCTCTGCATAAACCATATGCACAGCATATCTATAATCCAAACATTCAGAAGGTAGAGGCAAGAAGACCAGAAATTCGAGATCACTCTCAGCTATAGGACAGAAGACCCTGTCTCAAAATAATAATAATAAAGAAAGAAAGATCAGAAGGACCAATTTTGAGAAGGTAACTTTACTGAAAGCATCCTAAAACACATTCCTAAGGTCAGGGAAAAGAGGTCAAAGGTGGGGACGCAGAACGTGGAGGAACCAAGAGGAGGTATGTGTGGAGGGGACATCACAGGGACTCTTAATCATGCAGGGAGGTGCGTATAGAATAAGACTGCGGAGCATGGGTGAAGCTAGTACAGCGTCTCCCGGGCGTGGGTTCTCATGTGGCGCAGTAGGTGTGAATTGCGGCTGAAGCCACGGCCACACAGCGCACAGGAGTAAGGCCTTGCGCCTGTGTGAACCATCAGATGGCGCAGCAAGCTGCAGCTGCGACTGAAGCTCTTGCCACACTCCGGGCATTCCTGGGGTTTTTCCATCTCTTGCCTGGATGTGGTGTGTGTGACCAGGTGGCGCTGCAGGTGCGCATTGCGCCGGAAACTGCGGCCGCAGGTTGGGCAGCTGTAGGGCCGTTCGCCCGTGTGGCTGCGGCGATGGCGGGCCAAGTTGGAGCTGTTGCGGAAGCGGTGACCACAGGTATCACAGGCGTGGGGCTTCTCCCCCGTGTGGATGCGTTGGTGGCGTGCCAGGTGGGCACTCTGGCTAAACCTCTCTCCGCACTCGCTGCATCGGCAGGGCTTCTCTCCTGTGTGGCTGAGCAGGTGGCGAGTCAGGTCT